GTAACTTTCAGTGATATCTTGGGTTGCTATGTCGAGGGCTCATTTTGTGAACGTCGACCCCACCTAGTGTTTAATCTTTTTTTGTGTGAGGAGGAGGATAGCTCACTCACGCGATCCGTCTCCTTCTTTAAGAGCATAACTGCTTCACAGAAAGACAAGACTTCCCAGTTCCTCTCGCTACGTACCGTGGCCTCGACTAAGGCCTGGCGCGAGAGTTCGCCGCCGCCGATCACTTCCCCGATAGTGTTTTAACTTGGAAATCAATCATCGTGGTGATGGATAATAAGACATAGAAAGAGAATGCTCAAAGCATTGTGTACAATATCTTGAGCATGAAGCTTATAATAAATAAATAATAAATAAATAAATAGATACATGGTTGATAAAATATATTTCACCACACTTTCAGTTGGCCAGTTACAAGGAAATCAATTTTAGATAAAATACTACAATGTCTTGTCAAACAATGCACTATTAAAATCGACTACAAACATTTAATCACGGCGATATGACGTGTACAGCAACGTGAAGTATGAATACGCTGTCGTTAGGATCTGAAACAATTATTAATTCATTTAACTTTGAAAGAAATTTCGGTGCTCTGCTTAAAATATTAACAGTCAGCTGGTAAAACAGGTGCTTATAAAGTTTGTTATATTATGTGTTTTTGTTTTAAGTTTGTTTATATGTGATATGTCGGCAAACGAGCAAACGGATTGCCTGATGGTAAGCAATCCGACCGCGCGCCCATGGACACCCGCAACGACAGAAGAGATACGAGTGCGTCGCCGACCTTAATAAATTAGGGATTTGGAGATTTTCTCCCATTAACCCCAGCCCTTATCACATCCTCAAAACCACAGGGCTAGCCCCAAAAGGCCCCACTCGTATCTCTGGTGTTACGGGTATCGGACAAGGTAGATTGCTTACCACCAGGTGAGATGAAAAAATAAAACATAGCTTTTGCATAATTGTGGACTTGACAAATCCTCAAATTAAATTATTTTTCTGTGTATACTAATAATTAGCATACTAATTTCTTTAAAAAATCACCAATAAATATGGAGAGCGTATATGAATGAAATTGTGATATTTTTTTATTTATTTAGCATAGTATTGCATCGAAATGCCGAAATAAAATATTTACCCAATTAAATTTAATTTTAGGCATTTTGGTGGAAATTGTTTGCACAGTTGTCTACAAATTCGATATTTCGATGACTTTAGTATTGTAAAGAACACTCTATAGGAATAATGAGCTTACCTCTAACTATCTGAACAATAACAAAACGAAGCTGAATCTACCATAAACAAGACTGGCAATATTCGCACAATAATAATCGTAGAAAAAATAAATACAAGCAAAAATACCTGTCATTTACAACAAAAAGGCGGGTAACTGCCATAAACAATTCCACTGTATTGCTATGTTGTCGTAAAAAAATACAATCAAAGAGAATACTCACTGAACTATATGTAATCATTGTGATAGCGCGAAATTTGAGAGCTGTGAAGTACAAAGGCCTCTGTGACCTGCAAACAAAACTCACTTTACCATTCGCAATTTCGTACGCAAAATAAACCACAGTTTCCTGTAAGCGGATATTTGTGTTCCACAATAAAAAACAACATCGATCCAAGTGTTATTTTGCAAGTATTTTAAGTTTTCAAGCATTTTAGACAAGAATCTAACTTTAAAATAGTGATAACACTGCAGCCCGACCACAGACAATAATGTCCATAGCAAGACCACAGACAATGAAGTGATTTTTGTAGGGGGAATATCATCCCGTGACCTTCTAGCTGTGGTGTCGACGAGAGGTAGTGTCAAACTCTTACTAAACGCAACCCCATTCTTTCACTTGATTCGAACCGGGACCGCAGTACATATCACACCTGTTACCCGTGATAATAGGCCATAAAGTGACAGGACATTTTTGGACAGTTTCGTTCAATTTTGTTTGTAAGATTCCCTACAATCCCTCATATGATTATACTAGACTAAATTGCCTGAAGAGGTAATAGCATAATTGCTATTGTACGGAATGATCGCCACGAATCTAGGTATAGTGTACATACATATAAGTTAATTTGTATGTTTATAGATGCACCCACACAACAATTTTATTTAAAAAGGTAAAAGACAGCATGATCTTGGTACAATATAGATTTAATTGATTAAAAATAACGACTTACTCACGTGAATTAATTCTGAGATAAGCTCTACTAGTTTCAAGTGGCAACGGGACTCTTATGTTTTTTTTATTGATTATAGGTTCGCGCTTGACCCCTATCTCACCTGATGGAAAGCGCCGGTGACGTCTCGGTGACGTCGTGCAGTCGAGGAGCCTAGTTGACTATTTCAATCAATTTTGTATGGACTCGCGATCGTCAACGTTTATACTATGTATTTCTACTCATTTATAAATTAATGACACTGTTAGGTAGTAAGACAAAGCTGTACATTTATTTATTAACAAAAAGAAACGTTTGTACTCTCTCTTGTATTGTGAGTACGTTTACAAACAAACAAATTCGCATACACAAGCCCCCCGAAATAACAATTTGTGGATGATACAAAGTGTTGTTCGAACCCGCGTCTCGTTGCCCTGAAGAAACGCTGAATACGTGAGTCATTAAGTTAATAAGCAAATAAGGCTACTTGAAATGTGAAGTCAAAGAGCGTACCGCTGGAGAATGACAAGCATCGCCCGCCGACATCTTGTGTTGCTCTTGTACCACCCGCTCTCATACACCGCGTCCGCTACACCCACGCTCTGCGAATGCATTCCAAATTCAAAATTATTTTCTGGCTTCTCTTTCATATTTCAGAATAGTTAGACAGAGAGAAGGTTTGTTATATTTAAGTGCGTAAGAGCAATGGGTTCATAGAAAACCGGTGTAAAACAACCACAGCATTGTGTATCGCCGTGTAAGGAGGCCCAATCCTTCCCTCCAACAATCCCTAAATTTCCAAAAGGTTGGCAACGCATTTGTGACTCCTCCATTGTTGTCGGCTATAGGCGGTGCTGAAGATAGAATTTCATAATAAACCCTAATTGATATTATAAATGTGATAGCGTATGGATGTTTTTACACTTTTACGCAAAAACTGCAAAATTGTAAGACAGAGATAGATTATTATTCTGATACATTAAATACTAAACTTAAATTTTGTTTCAGGAACGAGATCAAACCCGAAGTGCTAAACAAAATTATCGTAGGTTGTCATTGTAATTCAGGTTATCAGCTGGTGTGGTCATAGCGGATGAAAGACACAAAGAAAATCCGAATCTGATCTCTTTTCGAAAAATTTTCAAATATAGACAATTGCATGTTTTTTTTTCTTTCATATTTCAAAAACAGTCTTAACAAAGACTTTCTTTCTTTCTTTCTTTCTCTATTTAGTATATGTATTCAGTTTCTTTAGGAAAATGATCAAAGATCATATTATTCTTTCATATACTTACAGCTCTATATATATCATCGGCGTACCAACATACAATGAATATTTGTGTCAAAGCAGCTCCAAGATAAAACTTGTTACTCATTTCCATCCACGAATCTAAAAACTAAGTATTAACAAAATAAATAAAAGTGCATATTCCTTTGATGTTAGTATATTTTCTAGTTTAGTGATTGATGACTACTTACCACAATAGTAAACATTACACAGCAAATATTGACGGAACTTAACAATACGTTGATCAGGTTTACAACTGAAAAGGCATCCTCCAAATCTTTTATGTACCTGGAATATATTTGCAAGCGTTTATGTACCTGGTTTATAGATTCCGTCAGCTGTAATTCCCGAGTGTAAAAAATGATATTTTAATAAGTACTTAAGCGATGTATAAAATTTCATATCTTAAGTTTCGGTCAACTTTATTTTGATGTGATAGATCGAGAAACTAGCATTCGAATTACTTGATTGGAAAGGATCGGCGCAAAATCGAGGAGTCTGGAGAGTTTGGAATTTGAGGATGCGGGGAAGATTTGGCTTATTAACACCACATTCATGTAGCGAAACGCAATGATTACGTTATCACCCCGGTCGTTGCCTGCCCATTTGTGCAAAAGTAAGGCACTGTGACACTTTGAAGGTAAAAAGAAAAAAAATATTGAATTATTTTACTTTTTAATTTTTAATCACCATCACTAGCTTATAAGTGCGTACGGCAAAGGCCTCTTCTCACAACGAGAACGTCTGAGCATTAATCACCACTAAATCTAGGTTTCTACTCGACGTTTTCCTTGACCGTATTTCAGTGGTGTCTAAATAATCATAGAAAATAAATATTACACGGAATAAGTCACATTGGTCCTCATGTACGAGAATCGGGCGCAGTGACCTCCGGGCTACCACGACGCTCTATTTGTTAATTATGTTTCAAAATAAAGGCCTATATTTTGTATATAATTTATTGAGAAACACCCACCTGATAAGTCTCTGATGTATTTTAACGACTTCAACGATATCTTTATAGCATATCATGTCGGAAGAATCTTTACTTCCAACTGTGCCGATGCATCGGATTTGGTTCTGCAGTAAGCGAAGAAGCATACTGATATGGCTAGCCATTGTCATGAATAATAAGTCGGAACCAAGCATACAACACACGGATATACAACCTAGAAAACATTGAAATTAAAACGAAAAAAATATTATTATTATGTTTCGGAAAATAGCATTCACACAATAATTTTTAAAAGAAATATTGAGTCGGTACATACATATGTATTTCGTATTCGTTGTCAAAAATGCGTAGGTACAACACAATTACACCCGACTATTTCGCAGAAACGTGATTTAATACTTCCATTATACCTACTACACGAAGCTTTTAAAAGCATTGAAACTGTAAAAGCTTTCATGAAACAGTAAATCGAGAGGAAGATTCGTACAATAATATAATATTTTCACCTTAATTACCTACTGTTATATGAAAAAAAAATATCTCTAAGAATATTGGTACGAGTGTAGGTACAACATTAAAGAACTAAGGGCAAAAGGACGAACCAGCGCATGTTTCAAAGATGTAAACGATGCCGTGGACCGCGGGCTTGGTTTTGTCAAACGGGTACGCCATCTGCCACACGTAGCCAAGAGCTGCAGGCATACCGCGTAGTTTACGGTACACGAGCACGACAATCGGTGTCAAGTTATACAACCACACGCCCAATATATTCCAAAAGGCATACACTGAAAAATATCATTAAAATCTTCAAACAGACTTGCTTTCTAAATAAAGATGTTATAATAGCGAAGATCGAAGCAGTGCCGGAGCCCTGACAGAAACATTGTCTGCTACATGTCGCATGCTTGCTTGAATTAAAGAGATGTTTTAAAATAACGTAAATAAATGTATGCTTTAGGATATTATGCTTTAGAACTTTATGCTTCATAAATTTATGTTTTGGAATATTATGCTAAATTTTAATTATGGTTAAAGTTTAAAAAAAAATTATGCGTTAGCAGTTATATTGTGCGAAAATATATTTATGCTTAGCATCCATCTTTTGGAGCAGATATTGACAACTCCAACAATGGACATGGATGAAAAATATTGGACTTACACAATTGTCTATGCTTGAGTGTTGAGAGACTGTTTCGTTTTATCTCGACTCCATCCCTGTCTTTAAAGGATACTGGCCAAATCTCCGCCAATTCCACTACCAATTGTCTGAATGTATGCCTCTTATACCAAATCGTTATTAATTTCCCAAAACCTAAAATGGAAATACGGTACCTTTCAATCGTGGCAATAAGCGATAGAATAGAGGAATAATAGATGCGCAAACGCTGGCGTTCGCTCGGGGTTTAATGAATTATAGATTACGTTATTACAAGTCGATAGACTGGGCTCGGTGATCAGAATAAAAATAATTTAAGAACTAAAAAAGAAAAATGTTATAAATAACACCTTTGACTCTAGTATGGTTACAAAATTTGTCACACAAAGAGACCTTATTTTATACTATGTAGTGATTCTGGTTTTTTGTTATATATTAATTAATATAAAGTGTGCCTATATCGCTGTAGGCAAGGAATGTTTATATGTATAATAACATTCATTAAGTAGTGGAGAAAATCAGTATCAGCATTGGAAGAACCCGGGGCGTGTCGCTAATACAATATACGAGGTATACGAACAAAACATATATGTATGACTCCAGTTATACCTAAGCAATATAGCATCCGGTACCTAAAACCTGTATTTCAAACGTCCCAATTTTACGACGGTCATCTACCCCTTACACTTTAAATATCACTCACTCATTCCCTCTGACTTGGAGCACTCGTCCTGTCCGGGCTCTTAGCAAATGTGCCATTCAAATCAAGTACTCTCTACCAACGATTTTCTCTGTGTAACTTTTTCTGTGAGTTCTACTGACTGCTAATCATTTGTTATATGTATATGTAAGTGTGTGCATTAAGGGAAACATTACATCAATGTTGACATGGTAATTACACTCAAATCCGTGAGCATAATGTGCTGTTAAAACATACATATAACTACGTATCAATACTAATTTACTGCACGGTTGGTGCGGTGGCAATGGCGGGCAACTGGCTGCCTTGCAACGTGTTGCGGGTTCGAGTCCCGGACGGAAAAACACCTTGAGTGATCTACAAATTGTTGTTTCAGGTCTGGGTGTCAATTGTGTGTGAAATTGAGTGTTTCTAAACGCACCCACGACACAGGAGAAAATCATAGTGTGAGGCAAAGTTTTTAAATAAATCAAAATAAATAAATAAATACTCACTCATAGTATCATATCCAGCTATGTGTAAATAACTACCGACAAATTCCTCCACGGAGGCGGTATTAATCATCTGCGCCGCGACATACGCTATCTCACCTGCCAGCATCAGAACCAATAAGGATGACGACATAATGAACGATAGATAAGACGTCAAACTTTGGAAGAAACTTTTTGGTATATCTATGAAAGATAGGCCGATATTGCGCACACAAAAATTGCAAAGATTCAATGTTTCATGAATCTCCTTCCGAGCAACGTTCCTTTCTTCTTCAGACATTTTGAAATAGGTTTCCAAACGAACAGAAAATAACTGTGATAGTATCACATTTGATTATCATTTTATATGTACCTCAATGCTGAATTATTAACAAAAACTAAGTTATATGTAATGGAAAAATCTGTGCTAGTACAACGTACATTAGCGACCTTCAAAGTTCGTAATAACCAGGTAGAAGGTTCCTTGGAAAGTTTTTCTGTCATTCCCAAATCTCAATCTTGAAAACATTTTTCTTCACCAACTTTCGTTCATATACCTTCGAGAATTAATTTGTATATAAATTATTCTATTAAAAGAAAACTCGTCATCAACTTAATCGAATATATACTTAAGTACACGAATATTATTAGTTTAATATTCTTATACAATAGTTCGACTACCTACATAGGGGTAGCCCTACATAAAATGTTAACGAAAATTCAGATGTTATAAATATACATATATTACGTCCCATTAGTAATATACTTACAAAAAGATATATCTATACTAATATGATAAATAAGTAAAATTTGTAAGTTTGTATGTAGGGGGTAGTCTTTGGAGCTGCTGGCCGGATTTCCGAAATTCTTTCACTTATACATATGTAGCTACAATGTTCCTGAGTGCTGTATGCTATAAATTATACTTGATTTGAATATTTTAATATATTCATTACAATACATGTTGATAACGATGGTATCTATTAAATCTCAGATTAATCTTGAATACAATGTACTTATGTTTTTTTATTCATTTTAAAGAAGGCCATCAGACTAATTACGTATGGGTAAAGAAGTGATCTTAAATATTGCTCATAACAAGCCTCCACATATATTTTATGTAGATATATCTTCTTATCTTATTAATATTATAAATGCGAAAGTTACGATGTTTGGATGTTTGTTATTTAATCACGCTAGTGTTATATACTTAGTTTTTTTTGTCGTATTATTCCTATGTTTATGGCCTTAAAATATTCATATCGTGCGACCCAAACATGACCAATTTATATTAAAATTGTATAGTTAGTTGGTGTTATATTAAATAGTACATAAAAACTACAAACAAAACTGAGTTAATAAACTCACACAAGAATTGTATGTATGTAGGTACATGACACAGCTATAGGTAGTGGGTATAATAAACCAATTTCCATTTCAGTGTTACACTCTGCTTGATTTCTGCTTAATTATTCCAATTTCGCCGCAAACGATGTCAACTGCAATCATTGAATTCGTCATGTGCAATAGCGACCAAATAACTTGATCTGCATCGGCAGTATAATGCATGTAGAGTTCCCTAGAGCATCAGGGTTCGCTGTACACTGGTATAATGGGGAGATGTGATTAAAACGTGACGCTGAAACAATGCAATTACTTAGTTTGGAACACACATATTCTATTAAGTCTCGCTTCCATTATAACAATAGATAATTTTCAGTACAAAAAAAACTTCAAATATATTTTTATTAAAATATCGATAACAACAGGCTTCGCGTTAAACGGTTCCCGATACGCATTCCAAGAAACTGGAATAAATGTATATTGAGTCCATTACAAGTAATCCCTATTACGGAGTTCTTCGCAAACGAAAATGGGACTTCATTCCAAGCGATAATTAAACTGTCAATTTTTATTAAAATTATTATTTTTTATTGTAAAAGTCGGCAAACGAGCAGACGGATTACCTGATGGTAAGCAATCGGCGCCGCCCATGGACACCCGCAACACCAAAGAGTTACGAGTGCGTTGCCGGCCTTTTGGGGATAGGGGTTGGGGATGTAAGGATCGGGAAGGGATAGGGGAGGGGGAGGGATTGGGCATCCGGTAACCTCCGTGAGGTCAACACTTGTATGTACCTAAAGCAATTTTATTTTTCGAATGGCGGAACTCTGAAATCGAATTGAAAATGAGACCAAGTTTCGAGTGAAGTTTAAAACTGTTCTCAGGTCCAGCATATATTATTACTTGCAAGAAGCAACACCTCACATCCCCACGTCGCGTCGGACGCTCAACTAAAATTACATTTCGCACAGCGTTACATGCAAGAAGCAACTTGTCGCCGGGAACATCGCTCGTCTTTGAGAGGAAACTAAGTTTGGATATTAATAAAGTTGTGGTTCCTGCAGACACCTTCCTCATATTATGTTAGCTTCATATCTCAAACAGTTGGAAGCAAAGTCTTACCTAACACAACAAAAGGATATATCTAACCTAACCAACTACTTACTTGCGAAAAACATGATATTACAATAAATCATGTGCGAAATTACCATAGAAAGAACCTTTTCCAACTCTAAATCATCGTATAAAGTCTCCAGTAACCTGTTTACAACAAAGTTTACCAACTATAAATTGGTTGACATCCTATTTACACTACATATCGGCTCCGAAGTTTGTATAGGGAGGCAATGTAAACAAACTATCGACCTCAAATCCTCCAAGTGAAGCACGGCGGCTCACCTGTCCCTGGGATTATTCAAGTCCCGCATTTAGCTGGCTTTACGGGATTACGGGACGACGCGGGATCTCGCGAAAGTAAGCAGCCGGATGCTCGTTTATCCACTGACAGATCTTTACTTTGTTTTACTTTTCAAGTCACGCAACACTACAGCGTCCCCTAGGTGACCGTTGTGCGAGACACTGCTGTGTAATGTCGTGACGTCCTACTAAAGAGACACATATTACTTTTGATTTGTTTGAAATAATTCGGTGATAAAATCTGATTTAGTTTTTAAAATAATTCATTAAGACAACCTTACGCTTATTTAAATCTAAAACGAAAGTAGTTACCATCGTTTCTTTCATTTTGCTAAACAAACTTAACCTTCGTATTTTTATCAATTTTTTATTAATAGGATCACTTAAATATGCACTTAAAACGACACTAAAAGGTTATTTTAAACTTATTATACAATTTTAATTACACAGACCATGCTAATGTTATCATACAACACAGTATTCCAATTACGTACGACATGAATGCACATTGAATCTCATTGGCTTTGCACTTGTAGCAAGGATGGCGAAGCAGGAAAAATGTAGGGGCTCCGTGAGGCTTATCTCTTTACGAGACTCGACCGGCACGGGAAGCCCGCTAGACATTTTAAAGGATTACACTACTTGTGTACTGCAGAGATTTTATTTTTAAATCTTATTATAATGCAGCTCGTACGAATTGCTGATCAAATTTTTTAAAAACGTAAAATTTTCATGTCTATTTATACACGATAATAAGTGTGCAGCCCTGGTGGTGGAAATAGGGAATTCGACGATCAATGATCCCCCATGCCTCGATCTTGACTATACAACATACGCAGAATTGTTCAATGCCAACTATTAGTTCGACAGATTAGCAGGTGCAATCAAACATACTCTTCAACTGTACAATCAAGTGTCAAGTGTGGGAGAGTCAAGATTCGGCGAATGGGTCATCTTGACCGGCTTCATAGAAAACTGGCATGAAACAACCACAGCGTTGTGTTTTGCCGTGTGAGTGAGGTAACGGGAGGTCCGATGCCCCCCCCCCCTCTCCCCATCTCTCAAAAAACCGGCAAGGCTCTCGTAACTCCTTTGGTGTTGCGGGTGTCCATGGACGGTGCCTATTACTTACCATCAGGTAATCCGACGACTCGTTTGCCGACCTACCTCATAAAAAATAAATACTACTCCTATTAGTATAGTAACATAACTAAATGGTAAATCTCAATTCCTTTACGTGGGAGCTTTGATGACCTGTAAAAAACTGTGCGTTTACGCTTAATTTCTATAAAGTAAAAAAAAATAAACATCAACTTATTGTAAGAAACCAAAATGGTTGAATAGATGCATTAGGCCCGTAACCTAAGTATGTTTCAATTTATGCTAAACAGCATACAACCCTAAATCGGTGGTTAGATTGTGGTACGAGTTTAGTTAACTATAAACCCACAACTATTGCCTTCCAGTATTAGGCATCTACCCTTACAATCGATATACTGCCAAATACCTACTGCATAACATCACTATAACGCGTAGGATATTAATTTATCAGCCGGGGTTGCAAGCGCATTAGGGGTACTACTCCGGCCTAGATCAGGAGAAGGAACTGGGTGATTCTTAGGCAGTAAGAGTCTGACACTGCCTCTCGCCCAACCCAGGGATCGAGAAGTCATTGTGTGCAAATGATTCTCCCCCTTTTAAAAATGTCATAAGTAAAGAGACCGCAGTTAATTGTAGCAGTTACAAAAAAATTGTGAAATCAAAATTAAATATGAAACATATATAAATATGTAGACTGTAGTTTAGACTTATTGATATTTTTTTACGTGATACGTCGGCAAGCGAGCTCACTTATTACGGTAAACAATCAGCGCCACCCAAAAACACCCGCAACAACCGAGGAGTTACAAGTGCGATGCTGTCCTTTAGGGGATTAGGGATTTGGAGATTTAGGGATTGGGGGAGGGGATGGATTGGGCCTCCGATAACCTCACTCATCTGCGAAACACAACGCTATAGTTGTTTCACACCGGTTTTCTATGACGCGGTGGTATCACTGCGGTCGAGCCGACCCATGGCTATCCCACACTTCGTGCTGAATCGTATTCCGCCATTTTACTGTCAATATGTGAACATCTTTCTATTAATTCAACTATCTGTTGATGTAACAACACTTGCTTCTACACATATTTTCGACATTCATATTATTATTTTTATCAAACAGCATTAATGACGAAGCTTACTGCAATATAATCAAATGCTTAAGATAGATACAAGAATCTACGTCCTAACTAAATAAATAAGAGGCCATACACGAAAATCTGAATGAAAATATGCATTGCACATGCACAAATATGTTTGTATCTCGGTAACAAAGCCCTGAGCGACTGAATTAAATATCTCACCACCAGTAATAAAGTACCTACTTAAAGTTCCAGGATTGTTGTGAATGCAAAGTCACCAAGGCCTCGGCCCAGAGCAGGAGAAGGGACAGGGGTGTTTTTAGTCAGTAAGAGTCTGACACACTCTCTCTCACCTTAC